GCTTCTCGACCAACGTCAGCGCTTCCAGCGCCCAGTCGCTGACTTCGCTGAAAGTGATGGACAGCATCTGTTTCTGAGCCTCCTGGTCGGAAAGGTAATGCAGGATCGGTTCGGCAAATCGCTTCGTGCACCACTTGACAAACTCGGTCTGAATCAGCGGCTCAACGGCAAACGTATCCGTATCAGAGACGCCGCTGGTGCTGCCAGCTTCAGGCAAACATCCGAACATCGGCCTTCGGGGACTGGTGTAAATCGTCGAGTAGATGCTGATCGCAGGTATGAAGTCAGAAGTCTTTGACAAAAAGTTTTGACCTGAATGAATACCTCAGATTACGATTTCGATCCAATTTCACGTCAAGTATTAGTTGCAAAAACGAAGTCATATTTTCTGAGCAATCAAAGCTAATCAACACGTGGGCATGAATGAACGCAAAAAAAAGAAAACTGCCGTTAAAGGCAATTTTCACCGACTGTTCAAAGACTTGAAGGCTTGACAACAGGATTTCCGACTTCACTCTATGCCTCTCAGCGATGGGTAATCTAAATAACGTGAATGAAGCTAATTTTTGTTTATTTCCGCGTGTCATCGTTTGCATCTTCGTTATACCTAATCCATTAGTCACCATCCTCTATTCGCATGGTAGAAGACACGCGGAAAATATTTTTTCGTGCATTCTTCGGGAATTAACTTAGGGTGACTTCCAATATTGGAGTCAGATTTTGTGGTCATGTTTCTTTCTCTGAGACAGACTTACTTTGAAAACAAAAAATCTATGGTCCAGGTGAGTACCACTACATCGTTGATCGGGAGCCATGAGTGAACTCGACTTCTCTCAGGATGCATTCGTAGAAAGTGCTGACTCTGTTTGTACACTAGCAACGTGGTAAAAAGGGACAGTTCTACTATGGCAACATATACCTAGGTATGTAAAGCCAGCCCGAATGAATCTGAGTTATCAAATGCTGAAGACGGACTCTGACTATTGACATGAAAAGCTTTTTATGTTAAGCTTTTCTCAGCTTAAACTGAAC